GTGTCTCGACCATCCCAATTGACGTCCTAACCACCATCATCCCCATCGTCATCTCAATAGCGGAAGTTGCCTATATTGGCCTCGGTTGGAAAATATACCACGAGTTTGGGTGGAAGGTGTACAAGTTCCTTGGAGCGGACCGCAGGATCAAGAAAATGTATGCCAGCTATCAAATCTACGAATGTCTGGTCAAATTCGACGTCTTCTTCTGGGCTGGATTCTCTGTTCAATTCATCTGGCTTGTGCTGCAAGATACGGATTGGGAATACTATGTTACATGTGCCGCACTACCCCTATCGATTGTTCTTCTTGTCGAGGGCCATCTGGCTGCCCGACACGAGAACAAATGGATGATGGCAACGTTTATGGCGGGCTGTGTGGGGGCCATGATTTACTTCATCTACAAGGTATGATTCTTTGCTATCTCGATGAGAAATCCGTTCACAAACAGCCATCTCTAGCTCATCAAAGTGTTGCTATTCAAGAACACTGATCAGTATAGACTCGTGTGGAAGTCCCTAACTGTATTCTGTAAGACATTCTCTCTCTCACTTCTTCCCTACGGTCGCTGAACGTTGTATAGCTGTCATCGCCATCGCCCTGCTTTTCGCTACATTTGTCTATTCCGTGATCGTTCTGAGGAATTTCGGTCGTGGCCTAAGGGATGCGCGTACGTACACTCAGTCAATGAAGCTCGGTGGCTATACTAACCGTTGTAACCTGTTCAGTGAAACGAAAAGCAGCAACCCAAGGCATTGGTTTACAACCTCATCGCCGTGCAGCCAGCACAAACCTTAACCGCATGAGCATCCAATAAGAACCTCTCCCATGACCACTCACGGAAGATAGCCCGTTGTACTGATAGCCAGTTCCCACACTACGATGACGACGAATGGACTGTCGCATACCTACAGCGCATTTCAATCCTTCTCCCTACCACGCATGACACCATCCACCCGCAAACTTAGCATTCCACCAAATCTCCTTCCGTACTTTATCAAACTTAAATATTTGCTACCTTTTTAAACATATTATCTATCAGCCATCGTAGTACTTGGTAGATCCAGATGTACTCATTCCGTTCTTTTTCCTCATACAGGAAACATTCCTTTCTCCTTGAATAAAGATGTATTGCTAGGCTTTCTCTAGACTTGTGATTTCAGTGAACAAGATATCTGCATTAGGAATGTTACTGATCCGAGTGCGCAGGCACAGTACTGTACTTTCAGCCCAACGTGTCACCACGACGGCCAACACAGCAAAAGCCTCAACGGATGCAAAATTAGACGGGTTCTCCATTCATTCCTCACTCCCTTTCCTCAATCCTAATGTCCCAACGGTACCCATAACAATTGCCTCTACCGCGCTATCACGTCTGACATCTCTGACATCACAGTATACGAGCTGCACCTTCACTTCGTGACCGTTCAGCGCTTCTGGGCAACACACCACCTGCTTCTGGCCGTTCGTCTCCGTTCGGCGGCAGCATATACCACCCAGGGGGAGGCCAACAACACCACCACCAGAACGAACACCGCTATGCTGACGACCTCGAAGGACAAAATGACGAAGCCCTGGATGGCCTGAGTGCTAAAGTAAAGCTGCTGAAGGATGTGCGTGAGTTTCGTTTGGGTGTTGGATTATCCGCCCGTTAATTTGCGAGAGCAGATCACTATTGGCATTGGGAACGAAGTACGGGAGTCGACGATACAGCTGAGCCAAATGGTGCGTCATACTCATTCCTTTGCACATGAGTTATCCTGACCAATTATTGCCCACTACTAGAACGATATCTATGCGGAGACGGGTGGGATCCTTCAAGGTACAATGCGAAGAATGAACAACATGGCCTCGCGGCAGGGTTGTCGTTGGCTGTGGTACATTGTCTTTCTCGTCATTGTCTTTTGGTTCTTCATGGTCGTATGGTGGTTTCGAAGATAGCACCTGGTTCCAACCTTTGCTACTCCATTTGTTGGGCGTCCCGTTTCCCACCTATATCTTACTTGGTGACCAAGCAATGGATATTCTGTTCTTCAAACGCATTACACCCAGCAAAAAGAAGAGAAGTACGGATACTAACGAAAGAAAAATGTTACTAAATTGTACAGCAAAATACGCATAACATGACTACGACTAACTATCCAAGACTATGTGTCCTACACGAATAAAAATACTAATAATCATCCCGCAGTCGGGCGTTGCCAATCTCCCATATCATCCGTCTCCGCAGATATGTCATATCTTTTTGTGTGAAGCTGAAGAACTCCTCGCCCCTCGATAGGGATTCCAGAAATTGACACGTGAACACACCGCAATCGTATCCGTTTTCTTGCTGGGGTGTCGTGTCCTGCCGCAGTAAACATGTCTTTAGTGTCCACGCCACACAGGAAAATAGGAGCGATATTACTCACGTCTGGCGCCCAGTTTTCCCAACCGGTGAAATCGAAGGGCCTTTTCTTCTTGTTGGAATGCTCGGCGTCAATGTATGCTCGTAGATGCTTGAGAATAAGATATCAACATCCCAGATTCAAGCAAGTAACAGAATATCTTACCTTGAACACCGTTTCCTTGGCCATTCCCATACTATCATAAGACTCCACTCTTTTCCGGCGAAAATTAATAGCCGCAGCTGTCCAGTGTGCATTGCTGTGGTTCACAGGGATCAAGATAACATCTTTGGAGAAAATGTCGAGCTACAAGCATTATGAGGAAAGCTGGTGGTTGAACAATTAAACGAGACAAAATAAACCTTTTTCGTCCATTTCGAAAGTCTTCCTTTCTCATAACCCTCCTTGGTCAACTTCGCCCAGAAGAACGAACTGAAGTAATGCACATCCAGAAGTTTTTGCTTTCCCTTCTTCTTATTGACTTGTGGACCTGGATTCTCCTTGTTTCCCTCGGACCGCGACAAAATCATCGCCCCATAAAAGTTGATGATCTCGTCGTTCAGCCATTGACCAGGCCGCAAGCGAGATATATCTTGATCCGATACCTGCTCCCTTGCAAACTTGGAGATAACACCGTTTTTCCGAAGAAGTGCATTGACGTTTGCTTCGTCTTCTGGAGGAAGATTAGATGGCAACGGTAGCGGTTTAGGTCGCAGACGCCTTTCGATAGCATCATCTTTAGCGCGTTCCAGTATTTGTTGTTGCTCGAAAGTCGGTAGAAATGGTTTGGGTGGTTTAGGACTGGTACTCCATTAGCACGAACCTCGTCACTTTTAAAGTATGGACATACCTGTTAAGGGTTGCCTTTGCGTTATCAAGGATGCGTTGTAGAAAGAAAGGGTCTTCATCCTTCAGGTAAACGGGAAATCAGGTAAGAGACACAGATACGCAGTAGGAGACGGACATCTGCATATGAACGCCGTCGAGTGCGTGCGGGCAAAACTTTAGGTTTCAGATCTCCTAAGAAAGATGTATTATCTTCAAAAACATATCAACAAAAATAAGGCACATTGAGACGAATTCGAACACAGACATGTTGGTAGGCGCCTTGGCCTTTCCATACCAATATCTCCGAGTTGCACTTGATAATTCAGCAGTCCTAGATAAATATCAGCAACCTATCGGATCCAATAATTGTGGAAATTATACCCTGGAAATCAGAGAAGGTAGACGTAAAGCCTAGCGAACATTGTTTAGGACGATGAGGTGAAAGCTTAAACGATCGTCTTACCACTCCGCCGCCTATGTCTATAGACCTCATACAGCTCCTCACGGATCTCCTTGTGACTACGGCGCACTTCTGCTTTATGCTAACAACAATAAGCATGGTGGTGTCCCAACATGACTGCATGTTCTTACCACTTTTTGATATATATGCGTTCGATTGCGATGATTTCGTCGTGGAGAATCCTGCGTAGATATTGACAAGATAGATGAACGTTGAGAATATGGGTTGGAGGACGTAGTCGAAAGTTTGGAAATCTGTGACGACATAAATGACGAGTCAGCTTGAGACCCCAGATGAAGGTTGTCGATGCCATTGGAAACGTCTTCATAGACCCATAGTCTTGTATCAGCAAGTTTGATTGGGTCTTCGTAGGAGGGATCTGAAGACGCGCGGTGGGATGCGCCTCCTTGATGAGGATTCGAAGACGGACTGGCTCGATCCACATGGTTCATCGTTGGTGTCCTCTTTCCTAACTGTTGGTCGGATTGCGATGATTCGTCCCCGTTCAAGAATCCCTTGATTTGAGATTCCGGAAACGAGGGCGTAGGCGACGTCTCTGGGGATGGTTGCGATCTACCAAATACATAGATGGCGACTTTATTGACGTATTGATATATGCTTCCTGCTGTGCTCGGCATCGCGCGCGTTGAATGTAGTTGGCTTTGAGTTAATGGGTATTCATCATCGTCACTATTTAGGGGGCTTGCGACCGGACTATTGATTTGCCTAGGGGTAGTGCCTGTTAAAGGATCCGACGTATCACGGAAACCTTCAAAGATGAAAGCTGCTGATCCAGATGAGTGGAACTACGACATGTTTGCTCAAATAAATGACGAACTGGGCATCACACCTGCAGTATCTTGCAGCAAATCAACAAACTGCTTCCCCAGTCGGTTCCACCGTGCAAGAATTCTCTCTTTCTCCGATGGACTTGGGGTACCGCCGTCGTATCCTGTGAGTGCTAATCGCGGTTGCTTTGATTTGCGCGAGGGTGCCAATGTATCGGAGGCTTGTCGTTTTCGAGAGCTCATTGAACGGCGAGGAGGTAAAGCAACCGATGGTTAGTAGGCTCAGCCTCGGGTGTTGACCAAAAGTGACGGACACGCAGACAACGATTGTCTACTGCGCTGTACCAGAAGCCCTAACAGTCCTGGCTTTTGTAGACACCGCGACGCGTAGTGTGAGAGCGCAAATGACGATGAGCACTCAGAGACCCTGTGGTCAAAGTTCAAGCCACTTTAATGCGACGGTGTCACAGTCGCATGTCACGGAACACTCCGGATATGTAAAAAGGATGTATACATCAATGTTAAATCTCAAACATCGCTTCCTTGGCTCAGTTGGCTAGAGCGCAGGTCTCATAGTAAAATATGAGTGATCATCCGATCACGTAATCCTGAGGTCGCAAGTTCGAGCCTTGCAGGGAGCACTTCTTTTTGAACATGAATAATTTGTATTCGCGGATGAGACAAGCATATCGTAACGCAATTGTGCTGCCCAGATGGACATGATGACAATGTTTTTTCTTCGGCTACATTATCAATGTGAAGGGAAGAATGGGAAGCCATCGCCGAGAGTTGCATCCAATGTACTTTTTGTTAAAACAGACATTTCGAATGTACGAAGGGCCTTGGTCCAACTGACATAACTCAAGATGATATTGGGTTGCAAAGTTCATCAAGAAAGTCCAAAAATAGCGCGAGCCCACGAAGCAACCGAGAGAGGCCAGAAGGTTTATTAATGTGCAACACAAATTGTGCATTGTGAAGAATGAGAATGTGATTGGAACCTGGAGACCCTCTTGCAAGATTATTTGGCCTGACCATGCTCAAGTCTACAAAGCTAGAACAAGTCCCAGATAATGATCAATACGAGATTGATAACATGACATATGCAATCAAGGCAAATTTAGAGCGCTCTGCGAACATATGGCCAAGAACCAGAATGGAGGATATCTCCATGGACACTTGCCGGCGAAGAGACGAGTTCAAGATGCTTGCATCACAAGCGTGAGTATCCGGGGCATTCATCGGCCACAGAAAGAGCTCAAGGCCAGAAGAATAGACTGGATTACCAAAGGCCAGGAAACCAGTGTAGTGTTGAATGACTATTGAGCGCCCACCTGAACTATATAAGCCCCAAAGATAATCGTTTCGGCTAGCAGTTTATAACCAAGTTACACGATCCTAGAGAGCATCTGTCAGAAGTAGAAGATATCACAATGCTCGCGTAGTCTTTGCCGCAGGCACGTATATCTGGAAGCCCATACACACCGATCGTGGTGTTAGAAGATGGGCGGGACGGCGTTAGTGCGCGCCCCCGCGACCCTGCATCCACACTCTTGCGAAAAAGTACATAGACTGACAGTAAAGATGGCTCGTACTGACATCATTCGCACAAGAAAGGAGTCAGCGAGGTCAATTCTGGATGTAGCCAGAGTCCAGATTATCGGTCCAGGGTGAGCTATGAAGGATGCGTGCCCGTTGCACCGGCCAAGCCAAGAACACCTGCAACCCCACTTGCTGTTGGTGCCTAAGTATGAGGTGCTCTTGAGGCGTTCTAGGATAACAATCGCATAGATGAAACGATAAGCGTGGGCACAGCGCGGAAAGTCGATGAAAGCAGCGAGTATTTGTGCGGAGTGAAAGAAGGTCATATATGGCAATTTCTCGGTAGCCGAAATCTCCTCCTGACCCCGATTAGCTTGTACCAGTGACCTATAAATCCTTTGTTATCATTCCCTCTCTCACACGACCGCAACATATAAGACCTCTTTCTCAGTCCCCTCGAGTAACCCACTTGACCAGTGCCTCTCCATCTCTTCATTTCCTTCTCCACTACAGTCACCATCCTCACCCACTTACCCATCACCACCCAGACACACCACAGCTCTTCAACATGGGCATGAGCTACCGCCGATACCTTTCTGGAGAGCGCATTTACGGATGCTCGACCTGCAAGACCCATCTCGCAACCATCCACTCTATGATGTCTCGGGTGAGTAAGCCCCAACCTGAAGGGGCTCTGTGGCTGACATGCTCCCGAACAGGCGTTCAACGGGCAGCATGGTAGGGCCTACCTTTTCGATGGCGTGTTCGTAGATTTTCTTCATCCTTCATTCCCGCAACTTATCACCTCCATGCTTCTGCAGTGTCAATGTAATCGAGGGCGAACCCGATGACCGCCCAATGACCACTGGTAACCACACCGTTCGAGACATCTACTGCTGCAAATGCGGGACCACCCTAGGCTGGAAATACGTAACTATCCTCATTTCGCCCCTTAAGTACCATTCCAGCTGCTTACGGATCTTCTAGGACAAGGCCTACGAACAATCCCAGAAGTACAAGGAAGGCAAATACATCCTGGAACGAAACCTGCTCGTGGATGTGCAGTAGGCCCGGAGCGCTCCGCCCGACTCGGAAGACTATCTTTTCTGAGTTAACGATCGTATACCTTGCGACCTCTTTTCCAAAGAGGCCGAGCATCCACACCGGCTGGCCGTTCTGATATTATTGGTCTAGTCCATCGTCTTTCTCAGACTGTACACATCAACAACCACAACAACATCAACATTGTACCACTAGGCATGACAGAAGGGTGTCGTCGAAGAAGTTAAACAGAAGGCGCTGAAGGATTTCTTGTCGATAAACTTGTACCACCATGAACGGCCGACCTCACATGATTCGGACGGCCAGTCTCCCACTTCATCCCTTTTTCGCTGATGTTCCCAGGATACGACACCCCAACTCGACATGGCTAATCTATCGATTGCTTCATACCATGACTTGTTCGTCCGCTTTCTCGTCCGCTTTCCCACATCACCCACCTGTCCGACTCGCACCATCATCTGCATCGCATCTTTCCTCGGCATGGTCATCTCTGTCAAGAAACATATAGATTCATTGATTCGGTCTCAACCCTTTGCGAATTCATCTTGTTTTCCATCATCTTCCCCTCATCTAATCGCCATACACAAGTCGAATCGTCATGTGTCATGTCATCCTTCACCCCACTCCATCCCTCCATCGACCCCAGTTGGCCCCGAATTAGTCTGTAACTTGTTATTCTAGATAGATTGCAATGGTATTTTACCCCCCTGTGCCGTAACAAGGAGCTCAAGGTGTCCTCCTGATCAATCCAAGGTAATCCAAGGTACGTAGCCCTTTGCCGCGGAAATCGTTGGAACAAGGTATGGTATTTATATCGATCACCCCAAAGTTCAGAAAGACTGCGGCATAACTCTGTAACTACGTAAATCTGTTATTGGCACACCCGCCACATGTGTGTGGTACCACAATCGTTATAAGCAAAGGCGACGCATACTTGACTCTTCGCTCTGAGTCTGGGTTCGAAGCCTCGGCACGAGGGCCGAACCACACAACTTTAGCATTTCAGGGTTTGACGAGATGGCGATATCTATTACCCGTCGAACATGACTATGCGCATATTTCGCCTCAGCAGCCATGCGTAAAACCTCCGGCCAACAACGAAAGAACCAATGCGCCACATCCGGTTCAATGAAAGAAAGATATCACAAGCTAAACATAAACCCCAATGGATTGTATTTTAGCACTACTTACTAGTGCGAATGAGATCAGAGTCAAGCCCGAGGACGTCCCACACTTTCAGACGACGAAGCTCTTGGAACCATCTCAATGTTTGATGTACCGGTTGCGGAACGCAAAGTTTACACATTGGACGCGCCAAGCTCTTCGAGCAGGGATGTTATAGCACGCCCGCCGGGAGGTGTAGAGACGATCCCATCCACAAATAGGTTGCCAAGCTGATTTTCGCAGTCAGTCTGTGGCGAAGCGGGAAGGGACATCGACCATCGTGGGAATGAGAGAAGTAGGGATTGACACCCGGCACAAAGAGTCTTCTGCGTCGTGTGTTTCGAAAGGGAGGAACGCGAAAACCGGGCGGTGACTTCCGTCTTTGCTCGCCCATGTTCCGCGCAATGGCGATGGACATTTCGAATCCCTAGGAGAGAGCAAATTGATGCGTCGAGAAGGCAGTCTCCCTTGCGGTGAATCACCAGGTGACCACAAATTGCACCCACGAACGCTGAAGAGATAGACGAGTTGTTGGTCGGTGTATGAATGTTACCACGCTTTATCAAGAGCTTACCATGTTTTTGTGAAAGTGGTGCAAAGCAGACGGGTGGAATACCTCGAGAAGCTTTTCCGTGGGGGTTAGCCGAAGAATTCCAGTAGATCCAAGATAATCAGAGACATATTTGAGCCTCGGGGCCTGAGCTGAGGACCAACAATGAGTCCAACAGTGACGAATTTACGGGCAATTTCGGATGGTTCCGACTTGACAGCTTGTCTGCCCTGGCGACAGGGAAGGTTGTTCAATTGGGTATGAGAAATAAAACTGCACCCATATGTTGTTGTCCTAGCTAAGCCGAAAGATTGTTGCGGTGAGCATTGAACTTTGATCAATGTATTATGCACGAACACAGGTCTCACGGCGTACCCGAGTAAAACTGAGTTGTACCTAGTAATAACAAGGAGACGGCCGCATGATCCGTCTTCTCGGAGATGAACTCAATAGGCAGGTGCTGTGTAGAAGCGTGGTGACTCCGAGACGATGGTTCATTGACAAAATGCTCTCAAGCAAGGAGCTGGAGTGCTCTTCTGTATGGGAATCGAACAGGGAGAAAACGGACGCCAAGTGCGCAGCTCCTCGGGCAGGACACAGTCTAGTACTCCAGAGCACAGGAAAGGGGTTGCGCGAAGATAAGCAGCAGCTGAGAGCAGATAGTGCCCATAATGCATGGCGCAGGCTAAGTTTGTTTGGATGAAAGGCTGCGGTGAGCCAATCAGGAGTGTTTCCTAATTTGGCGGACTCCGGCGCATTTTTACGAAACGGGAAACCCCAGGCAAGGGAGTTCCCCAAACGAAATGTTAGACGTTCGACCCCAACATATAGTCTACGCAGTATAAATACACTCCATCCATTCCACTCTCCAGTTCAATTCAAAACCCACCCGCTCCATCCTGTCTCTTCCTCTTGTATATAGTATACGCCAACGTTTCCAATGGGTATGTTCAGCTTCCCATCATCGTTCTACAACTCCTAATTTTTGTTGCAGCCACCATGACAGTTTCCAGACCCGCTATTTCCTCACCACTTGCAGACTCTTCGGCCAACAATATGCCAATGGCACAGCGCGTCATGGCAAAGAAACCCACCCCGTCATTCCCATCCTCGCGCGCTTTGAGGCCATTCGCGTCCATCTCTCATGTCATGCATCCACCCAAGTCGACCTCGTTATCATCACAGTCGAAAACCATAAAACTCATTCAACCGCCCAAAAACTTCAAAGCCACTTTTGTCCTCGACCTCACACAAGCCGAGTTCAGCAGACAAGACTGAAAGCATATAGGGGTGTGATTGACGACCATTGCATTCGTGGCAAGG